ATAGGGATAAGGATACATCTGATGAAGAGGGAAGTGTTATACTACCTTCAAGGCAAGAAGGCGTACGACATGCTACTTGTAAGGGGAGAACAAACCGATCTTCACGACCAGTATTGCGGAGACGGCGCTATACCACTTCGTCGGAAACTGAAGGAGAGCCACTCTCTCCACCACCAAGGGAGAAAAGAAGCTCTAGGAAGAGGCGCGGAACTGGTGACTCAAGGAAAAGGGCACGGGTCATTTATTCATCTTCAGAATCAAGAAATCAGTCGCCATCTCCGAAAAGAAAAAGACCATCGGAGAACAGAGAAGAGGAACGGGATACCAAGTTAGTTGATAAATTTTTGTCTATTTTAGAAAAGGTTAAGAGTTCGGATAAGCCGAAAATTACTTTTAATTCGAGTGTGATACCGGAGTTCGACCCTTTATCTAGAGATCAAACTGTCTCGACATGGATCACTAAAGTAGAGGAATGTGCTGAGGTTTATGGATGGGAAGAGAGGGAGATTATCCACTATTCCCTACCAAAATTAAGCGGCGTTGCTAGAACATGGTATCAGGGTCTAACTTCGATATTACATACGTGGTCAGAATGGAAAAGGAAACTAATTGAATCCTTTCCATGTAAAGAAGATTATGCCGAACTCTTAACCGAAATGTTGTCTAAGAAGGCTAAATATGGTGATTCGTTAGAGCATTACTATTATGCAAAAATTAATTTGTTAAATAGATGTAAAATCACCGGCAAACAAGCAGTAGATTGTCTTTTGTACAGTATAGAGGATCGGGCAGTAAAAGTTGGTGCCCAGGCAGCTCAATTTCGAGAGCCAGAAGAGGTGCTTAAATATTTCAAAACAGTTAAAATAGGGCAGAGTAGAGACAACCAAGATACAATGAGGAGGAGACGTTCTGAAAACAACGTGGATTGCGCAGATTCTTCGAAATCAGGTAACACCAACCACATGATTAGGTGCTTCAACTGCAACGAGATCGGGCATCCAAGTTTCAAGTGTGAAAAGACGGCATCTTCCGTGAAATGTCACAACTGTAATGAGGTGGGTCACCGTAGTTATAAGTGCGATAAAGCTCCTTCTAAATGCATGACATGTGATCGGGTTGGTCATCTTACTTCCAACTGTTATAAAAACATAGGAAAGTCAGTTTCTAATGAGTCCGAAAATACTTCAAAACAGAAACTTGTATCTTAAGTAATGACAGAGGTTACTGGTATCAAAAAATGTGTGTAACGGTATGTAATGGATTTAAAAGTAAATGGGTCTATAATTTCTTGTCGCATCAATCTAGGGAGTAAATGCTCTTTAATTCAGATTCCAATTCTCTGAACCTAAAAATGGTTTATCAAAATGATGACGCAACCTTGCCAACCCTCAGTGGTGTAGGAGCTAATATGGTCATTACGCTTGGAGTAGTAGTTGCCACGGTACCTAAAAGATCAATATAATATCAGATAATATCATCTCGTACTTAGTGGAAGACGTTCTGGCGCGTCCTGTCTTGTAAGGTCTTCCTTCTTCTTCTTCTTCTTCTTCTCTGAACTTGTGTTCTTTTTCGCCACGTCTTGTAAGGTCATCCCTTTACTGAAAAACTAGACATCCTTATAATTCCCTAACGATATTAAGTTTGACTCTTGAGGTTCTCATGTATGTATACAATGCGCGCAATCCAAGTTTCTGCTGATTGCGTTACGTGGTTTGAGAGGTCAGGAATATTATCTTACAATTATAAAAATATTATAGATGTCTCACAGAAACCGATATGTACCTATTATAAAGTATTTCAAGACTTTGTCGTGTCCTACGATATAAAGCATATTCAAAAGGCCCAGACTAGTGGGCAGGTTAAATATTTTAGATTATCGCACTATTTTAGATGCATTATCCCCATCCATCCATGGCGGCGACGACAAATGATAGGATAAGCACCTACAAACATACAGGTTGGTATTGTTACATTACTAACATAAGACTACACCGAAGAGCCCTTCAGAATTGTAAAAGTGGAACAGAAGGTAAAGTATGCCATTAATTTTTAAGCACTGGCCACACAGTACAATGATAGAGACCTGGTACGCGTGGAGAGGCAAGTACCTACCTCACGATGGTAAATAAAAAGATGGAAACCTGTAGCAGGCCTGGCTCACTCCGCGCAGTACATCCGATAATTACCTACAGCGAAGCGCCCCGCCGGCGGGTATTATATCAGTCGAGTGTCACGCGCGCGCAGGTCAGGACGCTGGCGTGCGTTGTAGTACCTAATTCTGATCGAAGTATTATTTAAAAATGGACATAAAGAGAAAGAAATATTGTGCGGCGTTCGGGTGTCGCGTCGTTGTTTCTCGCTTTCACGCCTAAACCACTGAACCGATTTTGATTAAATTTGGCATAGAGATAGTTTGTGTCCCGGGAAAGGACATAGGATAGTTTTTATCCCGGTTTTTAACACAAGGACGAGCGTGATAAAGTTTTTCTGTGCCAGACAAAATTCCACGCGGGCGTAGCCGCGGGCGGAAAGCTAGTTCTAATATACCATTGGATAGAACGGAAAATTTGCAATTGAACTGTATTATAATTTATTATAATTTCGTTAATTTGTCCCTTACATTAATTATAATTATTTCCGGTGACGACATGATTTTCGGGTGACGCCTTTCGGTCTAGGATGAAGCCGTTTCGTGTTTGCGTAGTAAGTAGGTAAGAAATAATGACTTTTCATTATTTCTTCTTTTTTCTGTAATAGTATGTTTAATTTATTCGTCTTATGTTAAAATAGGTATGATGTATGAACACATTGTAATAAAATAAGTATTTTTAATCCTAAGTAGGTATATTTGAAATTTTATTTTTACAAAGGTAAAATAACAGTAATACTTACCTACATACGTACCTCATTGNCAAGTACCTACCTCACGATGGTAAATAAAAAGATGGAAACCTGTAGTAAACTATCAAGATCCCTACCGTATAGTCCTCGATACTGACAGGTTTGTTATTAAGGACACACCTTTTACTCGAAAAAGTGGGTAGATTTGGATGAATTTCAATAAAAATTTTGAGTCTGAATCATCTGAAAATGACATTGCAAAAGATGAGTAAATAGTAAATTTAAATTGGGTAATGTCCTCTCTCAGAAACACTTGTAACATGTTGATTGTCTGTTGTAATAATAAATAGTATGATGTCGGTGACTTTATATCCACTTTATTATATGCTTTTAATATATCTAAATGAAATAGGTAATTATAATTTACACCAACTCTTTATGATTAGTTTTGTAGATAAAACCAATTTGAATTAGTTCTAATATTTATTTTAAGTCTATTAGGATGTTTTTTTCCATGAAATGTCAATTATGTTATATTGCATGTTATATTTTTTGTTTAAATGAAATAATAAGCGATGGGACTCGCTTTAAGTAGGATGGCCGAGCTGTTAGCGTCATATTTATATTTATACAATAACTATTGTTATTTTAGTAATTTAATATTTAATATTAAATATTTTGAAATTGATTGTAACAATGAAGTAATAATTAACCTATTTTATTTAATGTATTTTATTTGATTTCCGTTTATTTTGGTTCAATTAACTAGGATTGCAACAAATATTATTTTAATAACTACCGGCAATTTTATTAATATTTATTGTCGATTATAATGGTAAAATATAAAACTATTTTTAGAAATATTTTATTATTATACACTTTCTTTAGTTTTCAATCAATTTCTGTTACGAGTTGTTAATTTGACTACAATTACAAAAGCCAATCAGAGACGTCAGCCAATCGGAAGCGTCGACCAATCACAGCACACCGACTTGTGGTGGGGGTGTTTGAGCGGGGCATTCGATAGCAGAGCGAGAGTCAGTCTTGATCGAGCGCTGAGCGGAGTAACAGTTAAGGACGAAATATTAATATTGTAAAAGTGTTGTGTGAAATATACTGTGAAAGTGCTGAAAAGTTATACGGAGTTTAATTTCCACTGACCTGACCCAATAATAGTAGATTTACATAGCCCGCAGAGCGCAGAACTGCTAAATTTACGGCAATTGAAGAGGCACAAAGAAGTTTTATCACACAGCATGAAAAATAAATGACAATTACAGTAATAATTTTGCATGCCTAAAGGTGGAAGATGGAGATACCTACTTGAAAAATTGTAACACCTACTGATGTAAACCCATTTTCGCAAAATAAATGATTTGATTTGATTTTATGAATTTACTGTTGAGTGTTTAGAATAACCTTGACGGGCTTAAGGGAGAAAAATAGGCTAAAGGTTTGATGGCCTTTGCGCTTACGGACTAAAAAAACTTCCAATAATTTTTGTGACAGATCGATGTGGAATTCCTTCGGCGAGGCCTTTGTCCAGCAGTGGACATCATTTGGCTGAAGCCTGAAACGAACAAATAATTTGCCCTCCTGAATGCGTCAGGGTAGGACCGGTCGTTGTTCAAATCCTTAGTGGAGGCCTTTGTCCAGCAGTGGAATTCATTTGGCAGAAACGAACTGCTATGAGCCTCTGAGGATTTGGGTTTTTAAAAAAGAAATATGAGATTTTTATCATCAATCACTAATTACTTAATACACGACACATACATAATCCATACTTATAAAACATATAGCACAATTATTGATTTTTTTATTGTTTTTATGTTCTAATAATAGTTTTAAGTACCCAAAATATTGTAAAGTTATCTCCTGACCTCCACGAGACAGGCTTGCCTAGTGTGGAGTCCAAGATTAATATGAAAAATGTAATTGTTTTTCTTGCAATAAACGATTTTATTATTAAAAAAAAATAGGATAAGACAGCCGTCTAGTTCGGATGGTGGATTGAGACTGGCGTGGAGATGTGAGGGATCGCAGGCTATGGATGGAAAAGGATGAGTCGGCAAAAGGCGAAATGTCAAGCAAGCAATATAGGGTGCGAGGGCTATCTGTAACAGAACGAACAAATACTTTTTCTTTTTCCTGTATCTTACCTCTCAGCCAGCTGGCTGCACACGTTATTCCACCTGCTGTTCAGCTGGGACACCTCCTTATCCAACCTCTCCAGGTCGATGTGTTTCCCAGCCCTGGGCAGAGAGGAGTGGGGTAGCGCGGCGCGGGAGGTCTCTACCAGTCGCCTGCAGTTCTCGGCGTCGTCATTCATTTGGTCTACTTGGATCTGCTGCTTGCTGACCGCTACTTGCATGCGGAGGAGGTCTTCGTGCATCTGTGAAGGTAACCTTGATTAGACCATGAAAAATGGTAGACGTTATTTTGAAAGTTATTGCAATGGTTTAAGGTCTGGAACTCGATTTAAACTATTAACTTAGAAGTACTGTTGAGGTTACATAGACAAACTCCTAAGTTACTAATCGACTCTATTTTGATGGACAGACAACCTAAAAAGAATCAAAAAATCAAAATCAAAAATATTTATTCAGTTTAGACCACAAGTGGCACTTATGAACGTCAATAGAAAATAATAAAAAAAGAAAAAGGTAGCCCTTATGGGGCACTTTACATGTCTCCTTATCTTTTGGGCCCTACCAGCGCTTCGAGACAAACATATGGCAAGTGCTGAGAAGAAACGCCGGAACAAAGATAGAGGCAGAAGTTAGATTGAAAAATAGGAGTGCTTTTTGTCGCTTAAAGGAGAGGAAAGGAGTAATTTTATGATGGGTTGATCTTCTTCTTGTCGTATCGACAACAAACCCATGCAGTGTCGGCCCAAAACTCCGTTTCAAGCTCGGTATCACACAGATTAAGTTCCAATAGATATTGAGCCTCTCATCTTTAGTTACAAGCTTCTAAAGCAATCAAAAGGATTAATTTTAGGTATAACCCTCGTCTTTTTAAGAGCTCGACGTCTTCGGGCAAGGTAGCTATGTGTACCACAAGATACGTCCCGTGGGATATAGACTCTTATTCCTTTATTTTAAAGTTCAAAATAACTTACGTCTTTCAAGAGCTCAACGTCGTTGGGCAGGTCGTTGAACTGCGCGAGCTTGATCTCGAGCTCGGAGATGGTTTGGTGGTTCTCTTCCATGCTGTTCACTACTATCTCCACGAACTTCAGCCTGTAGGGAGCATCACGTAATTAGTAAGACATGATATAAACTCTGTGAGTCTGTTTAAACCAGTGGTTCTTAACCGGTGGTCCGCGGACCACTGGTGGTCGCTGGAGGCATTCCAAGTGGTCCACGAAGTGCACTTGCACGCCTTGGTCAAAACCACTATTAACTGATTTTTGGAGTCAAAGTAGTTTACTTTTGACCTATTAACATTATGAGATGGTCCCTGACACGACAGAAATTTGGTAAAATGGTCCCCCATGACTTAAAGGTTAAGAACCACTGGTTTAAACGATGAAGCTACGCTTTAAGTTTCCTTTAGAAAAGAAAGATTGTTTGATGAACCCCTCCATTTTCATGTATAATATGAAAGTCTTTATTTCAAGGGCCACTCACTGACTACCGGCTTCAAACGGTAAAGATTCTCAATTAGATTTCACGTTTTTAAGACACAGAAATCCAGGCTAAACAGATGCTAGTAGATTCTGAAGTTTGGTGAAGTTTTCATAGCTGCATGAGATATGTTTAAAATTAAAATTGATTTCATAATATGAATCCAAAACTTTGGTTGAAAGAGTATGTAATCCGTTGTTAGTATTTTACAAATTGTTATGCAGTCCCGACTGTGCCTACCTTTCAACGAAGAGTTGGCTCTTGGACTGCATGTCGTTCCACTTGCCCATCACTTTGTCGAGATTCTTCTTCATGGCCGGGGTCTTGAGGGCGATGCCTGAAAGAAAACGTATGCCGTCACTTAAAAATGTTTCTTTTTGTAACAATTTTGTTTAGAAAACCCATCTTGTTTGTAACTCCTATTAGATTAGACTTAAGAACTCACGGTACATGTAACGAATGAAGAGCAATGAGCATCTCTGAAGAAGCTTTAACTTTGGCTCCTGAAATACAGTTTACACTAGTTTAGGAGCCAGGGTTTCAATATAAAATGTTACAGTGTATTACATCAATAAAAAAAAAATATTCTATTCTATATATTCTATTCTATTCTACTTTAACTAAAATAAAAATAAATAAAACAAAATTTTGTAGTACAAGGTGAACTCTCTACTTAAATACTGACACCAGCCGGGCTACGATTCCCACCGTGATAAAATCTTTACGACGATTATAGATGACAAATGTATGGGCATATCGCGTAAAATGGATAAAATGGCGGCATAAAAGGTAGGTAGGCCTTCAGGGTAGTTAAAAAGACAGAAGATTTGACCCAATACCTCTGAAAATTTTCAAGCCCGCCCGAACGGACGACGTCGCGATCCGCCAGTCTGCGACCAGTTGTGACCACGGCTGCAGCATCGCAGCCGAAACGTCAAGCCGTGAGTACACAAACTCATTAATAAACGTCGCGTTTAGACCCGTGTCTTTCTATTTTACCTCTGAAAGTAGCCTGGACTTCTTCCACATCGCTCGACAGCGAATGTAGGCTGCTCTCCCAGTCCTTATGCTGGAGCACCAGGTGTTCCAGCGTGTCCAGATCCCGAAGGATATGCCTGGCGATCCTCTGGCAACTTTGAGCTGTCTACCTAAATACTTACACCAGCCGGACTACGATTCCCACCATAGNGACGTAATATATGGACGGCCCCTATGTATTTAATATTTTGTGGAAAATTTGATAATCCTTAAGCCAAGGTTACCTTCGATTTTCGAATTACTTTGTGATAGCAAATGATGCGCAATGCGCATTTCGTGATACAAAAAAGAAAGTACTTTAAGATTCATAATGTACCGATTAGAACGTGTAAATACTCGCTGTCGTCACGCTAAAATCTTATCTGGCAGATAACGCGTTGCTGAATCTCTGTGATAAATTCATTGAGTTATGAACGTCGAGCACGTACGTCCTTGTCCCTTGTATTGTAGTTCTAAATATGAATTTCTAACACGTGATAATAATGGAAATATTTTAAAAGATTTTCCGATAATGTGGCTTCTTGGACTCCGATTGACGTGTCTTATTTGTTTCTTAGTGATTGCTTCAGAAATGACAGACGTCGTATTATCAAACAAATTCAATAAAAAATATGCCAGATTTATCCAGCAGATGTATGAAAATCTCATTGACTGAATGGTGTAACGAGGAAGTTATCTAGTCCTACTAAATCAGGAATTACCTTGATATATTTACATATCCACGAGCCAGATGTTTACATAGAAATCTTCACAGGATCCAGTTACACAGCTAAAGGTCACATGTAATCGTACCCGTACCGTTTCTAGTCAGTTGCCGTTCAACAATAGCTCATCATCAAAGCGTTGAAAACGTAGAATTAAAAAGTAAGTTTTTCCTCGTCTGTTGACAAGTGTTATAAATCACTGTTGCCGTGTTTATTTTACGATCCGGCTATAATCGTCAACTTGGCGGTTTTGCAACGCTACGGCTGAGCGCGCGCCCCAAACCCAGTGCGCGTTGGTAGGGCTCACACAATAAACCCCTTAGCAGAAGAATTGATGGATGACATGTAAAACCAGTTTTAAAACTATTTAGTGCCTACATACAGTTCATTCTAGTAATTAAATAAATATAATGATTGTTACTCATAGGAAATACACGTCTTAATCGTCAAATGGGTTGTGAAGGCAATAAAACTTGAAAATAAAGTTGTTTTAGAAATACATTCTTTATTATTCATAGTATTTCATAATATGAGGCTAAATGTTAAAAAGTCGGGAAATTTTTAGATTAAACAACAAAGTCATCGGCCGCAGGCTAAATAGAAATAACAGTCGTTGATAAATCAAAATGTTAACAAATACAATGAATAAATAATGTCCAAATGTGAAGTGGTCCACAAATGAAACAAAATAATTTATCACATTTTAATCGACTTTTTTTATTTCAATCTTGAGAATTTTTAAAGTAAAACAGTTTAAAATGTGAGTCGACCTTATTTCAATTACAGTTGAAACATGTTGCAGCAACCCTGCGCAAGAGTCGTATAAAGCAGATATATTCGAACATGCACATCAGCTATTTCTGTATCGCCAGTACCTCACTAGTTGCGTATATTCTATTCTTCTGACGACAGACTCCTGTTAAATGCCAGATTAACCAGAACGATGCGTCTATGCCACAATGCGCCAACTTTCATAGCATTCATTAATGTAATTATTATTATAAATACATAAAAAGTGTGTTTATAATTCCCAGTGAACAAGAATAAAAGCATAAGTGAGTAAGTTTACAAAAAAAGAGTTTTCATTTCTATTATATTTTTGATGATATTATAACTTTCTTCAGTTTCTTTAAAAAAGTAACACGCAATTACTCGACTATTACTTCAAGCTACACTAACGTCACCGTGACTCAGAAATTTCAGATAGCGATGTGTTGCCGATAGCGTAAAAGATATCTCGTACGAGATAACTCGTGTAATAATTACGAGTAACTGTCACAAAATTCCGGTTTTGATGTGAAAAAAGAAACGGAAAAAAGTGTTAAACTGTTTAACATTTTCGGGTTTTCCGTAAGCGTTGGTTAATTTTCAAAGCTCTAGAGATTTAACCTAATAAGATAAAACCTTACAATAGTTTAAATGATGTTGTTTCTAGTGACCTCTTAAAAAGTGGCTAGTATGTAACTAGTAGGTACTACTATGAATGAACTTGTCTGATGATGCTAAAATGATTCTGATGAGCACAAAGCTTAAGTTGAAGGGCTAAAGGGTCAAGGAATGCTTAATTAATTCATGAGTAATAATTCTATGACAAACTAAACGCAGGTAGAGTCACGGGCATATGCTTTAACTACTAGCCTATAAAAATGTCCTATTGTTCCACTGAACATAGTCACGAGCTACTAATCCAGCATGTAGGTGTTTATCCGTCAAGCATTGCTTATAGAGTTCAAGGTAGAGTTCAAATATGGAAATTGTTCGTAACGCGATTGCTTCGATAGTTTCTACCCAAATCGGTGTGCCTAGCAACGATCACACACGGAACTTATAACATTCGGATTGTTAAATTGTTAGAGCGGGCGTAAGTGGCACATAATGCAGTGTGGCAAGAGAGCATGTCGGCGTGGCGAGCGGTTACATGCACCTCCCTTATGCGCCGGCGCAAACCTGTTTCGCGATCCGCTCGGGAAATATGTCGTCGGTCGCGCGTGCCGGCCAGCCTGTTTCCTTCACTGTTCATTACAGTCGAGTATTTACATTTTTTCGCAATATATTTGTATGTCGATTGACTATTTTGGCGTGCGTGTATTAGTGTATTGATCTTATCTACTTGGTTACACGATAAACGTAGGAATTCGAGGTTTGGACTTTGCTTTCTTTCAGTGCTGATGTTGTCTCTGTCTGTAAGTCGATAAATAAATAAGTTTACAAATTGATTATTTCATGCGTTAAATCTCTTGTTAACCGTTCCGATATTGATTGAGTACCAATCGGCTGTAGATAGCGCATTCCGCCTCTGCCCGGCGCTTGCGCCCGAGTGCGCGTGACGCGGACGTGAAACGTGTCTATATTTATTATTTACAGCCGCGATGATTTCCATTCTTCGCGCTCGATGTCGCGCCTGCCGATGAGAAAGCCAGACAGAACATGAAAACAACATTCTTTGCTGTCTAAATCGTTTAGTTCTTTTTAATTTAATACAAATTCAACATTAATTTATACATGTAAATATTTTACACGAGCGAATACCTCTAGCAATTTACTGACAATGTCAATCATAAAGTTTTTGCCGCAATCACACGCTGTACGCGTAGTTAACATGCATTTGTTTCTTATCGCGTTTACGTCAATTTTGTTATTGCACAATATTAATGAGAGAAAACATTGCACATGTAACACAAAAAATGAAATTATTGCATACCTATATGCGTTTAAAAAGAATATTTTCACCGAACGTGTCATTTAAATCAAACTCACTCGGCAAATAAGCGGCGTGAATAATTTAATTGCGGCTCAAGAGGTAAAGAGAAACAATGATGCGCGCGAAGGGTTAAGTATTTTACGAAAATAAAGGCTACAGAACGGGCACAATGACTCAGATGGAATTCAGTGTTGCCCGCCATACCGAGCTTCGTCGGAATCAGAAATACAATCCTAATTATAATCGTACGCATCCGTCCAGCACCTCAATCGCTGCTAACGCGAACGCCGCCACTGAACCGCACCGAAACTCTTTCAAATATCACCCGCGGCCGAGACGCTAGCACGTCAAGCATGTAGACACAAATACAAGTCTGCGTCTCTAACCATAAATTACTGTCTTCAACGACAATAGCCTTCGTGTTGTCGAAACTCGTCAACAACAGTTAAAGCCATCCGAAATTGCGTTATTAGTATCAAATACACAATTGTTTACAAAACTTTTCCTGTTGAATTGTGATCCGATTTAGAACCAGTGTTTATCTGTGGCCTTCACGTTTAATTTTATGATATCGCAGTTTCAGAACATTTTAACTTTTTAACATACAGTAACTATTTGTAATTGAATTTTAAACTTGTTTTCTGTCGATAGAGTTTACCCCAGTACAGTATTTAGTTATTTACCTTATTATCCGTCACAAGTTTTTTTTTAAATTTCATCCTAATTGTCTGATAATCATCTGTTGTCGTGTCTTGACCGCACACTAAAATTCCATCTGCGTTTCGGCTATGTGTACACGAGAGCGATGCCGCATTGCGGCGGGCGGGCGGCACATACGGCTCCTGCCCTTAGCGGCCAGGCGTCTTCGAGAGTTCAGGACTCTTCGCTGCTAACTTTGTTCGCGACCTCGCAAACATTGTAAACAAACAAATGAATGAACGTAACTCGTATTCTTATTTACATTTGTTTTTAAAGTTACATCCCAGGTGTAAAAACAAATCATTCAAGTTTTACTACAAAAACTTATCAATAAATGATCTTACACGTTGGTAAAGATTAAACTACCAAAGTAAAATCTACTTAAATGTGATTACTGATTATACAAAGCATTCAGTATCAAATTATTTATCCAAGAAATGTGTGCGGTTTATTGTTCGCTACAAAGTTGCAAGTTATTTTCCGTTACTAATTTTCCTCGTGAAACTCAAAAGCATTTCAGAAAAAATAAGTTATTTCCTGAAAATAATTATGTTGTTACTTATTTCCCCGCATAGTTATCTTCTCCGTTGCATAATTGTTTTATCTGGAAATAATTTTATTAAGTACAACTTTTTAGAATTAAATACTTCTTGATTACTAAGTACTACATTCAGGTCAAACCTTAGTATTTTTGAAATAGTGATTAGTTTATTTATTTACAGTAACAACACGGAAACGTTTTTTCTTTAACATTCGGTTTCGGGAGACGTGTAAGTACCGAGATTGTAATACATTAGCTCCGCGTTGATTTACACGCGGTGCGTGGGCGCATCTATTCATAGCAATGCACTAAATATAGTGCTCGATTCCCTATTATTCCGCCACTGAGTATGAACGGTTCCGCTTTCCAAAGTGGATCTATGTCTAGTGTATCTACGGCTTTCAGTATTTTAATATCCTAGTTTAAATATTGTT